ATACTTAGATAAATAATTTAATGGCGCCTAATCTTTTCATTAATTCATATTTTATTAATCTAGCACCAAGCACCAGAGATCCAGTTCCCCTTCAATCCAATTAATATTGAGCTAAACGTAATCTAATTAAATCAAAGTAATTAAGAGAGGTGTTGGGAGCTTAATGGGAGACGCCTGCGCTCAGCTGCAGAACTGTGGGATGTTTCAGGGTCAATGAGCCATCAGCGTGATCAAAAAGCCCAATCCTTAAAGGCAGAGAGAAAAAGATCTACACAAAGATGCACCTCACTTAATCATTTATAGCTCATCAACATGTCCTTGGGAGTGTTTTTATTTCATTTTCAGACGCTCCCCTGTTAGCTTCCTTGCCAGCTGCAGAGCTGCAGCCGGGTCGGAAACATTTGCACCTTCGGCTCAAAATGAATAAATGACGAATTTTGACGGATTCCCGCGCGCCGTTTTTCAGAGTACAAACGCGCTCGTCTGTTATTGACTCCACGGGAGATGCAGATTTGCTGTTCGTTTGAGAGAAACGACCCTCCGAGCTGAGCCTGAAACATCCCAGCCTGAAACATCCCGGTGACACCTTCAGACCTCCCGGCGAGGCGAGACGCACTGTTTGGGTTTGCAGGAATTTCTGTATTACCACTCTGGACCATTCAGCTGTGTGTTTACACATGCTTGTGCACTTACTGTGTAAATTTGAGGAGCTGTGGGACCTCATCTCCACTCCATAAAATGCTGCTTGTGTTTACTGAAGCATCCGGCGCTGATGAAATATTCATCTGGAGAAAGGGGGGAAAAAAAGGAAAAAGCAAACATCGAAATAACCCCCCAAAACAGCTCCTGCATCACACACACACAACCTGAGACCCACACAGGGAGAAAAGGCCAGAAAGCGCATGGGCCCAGACCTTCTCTAATGACCGGGAAGCAGCTAGGGAGCAGACATGAGGCTCATTACTCACCTGTAGGACCGGAGAATGTGTGCTGAGTTCACGGGTTTTTGTCAGGAGGAAAATAGCTCAACAAATATGCTACAGATTACTGTGACATTTACCACAGGCAGGATTTTGGGCCTCCCTGAGAGGAGCTGGACAATAGGGGGACCACAGAGCTCATATCAGACAGCATCAACATCTCTCTGGAAACAGGGACACTGGCACGTTTGCCTGAAATTAAAACTCTCAAAAGACTAAATGACTGACAATAAACAGTTTATTGTCACATTTACATCATTTTTAAAAATCTAATCTGATCCTTTTTTCAGTTTTTATAATGTTAAGAAGCAGTTTGCATAATTTTAAACCTCAGATTTGATCCTTTTTGTGATTTAGGTCCACAATAGTATGTGTATATATTTAGAATATTATCTATGAACATATTTTAAGTCAAATTAGCATAAGAAATACTAAATGTATTAATATTAGTAAATATATTAGACAAAAACAATAAATATTAACACTTCTACTATTCTTGGGCATAGAAAAACAACTTAAACGGACATTTTCTAATTATTCAGGAGAAGAAAAGCCAAATATAGAATATTCTACCTCATCTATCTCTGAAATTAACTTTCACTTGAAAAAAGGAAGTCAGATAAATTATGGATAGGTGTCCAAAATGCCCAAACCCAGAATAAATCTCTCATTTTGTAAATTTAAAAAAAGCAAATTGGTGTGCTGCCTTTTTTTTAGATCGTTGTGATAAATCTGAAAAATGTCACACGCCTCTGAGGTCAAATGGCTTCTGTGTCATTGTTATATGAGCCCCAAATTTGTATTTTTACACAAGTGCTTCCACTCAAATCCTGTCTTTTGGCTGACTGTGGGCAGATGATTTGTAGGAACAGTTCTTTTCTCAGCACTTCCAGATATATTTGGAGTCCCAGAGAGAAAACCCGTCCATGTGGTGGTTTCGAATGAACACGGGGAGTCTAAGTCTGCCGAATTATGTTTCCCATAATGGACGTTTCAGACCGTGTAGAGTTTCAGGGCTCACAGGTTCTGGCTCTTTCATGGTTTATTTCTTTTCTCTGATTTCTCAGAGGTTTCCATTGAAGTGGGATCGATCGGATTGATCAACACTGTCGCCTCACAGCTTCAGGGTTCATGCTGAGAGTCCCCATCCAAAAAATGCAGGTCGGGCTAACTGGAGACTCAAAATGGTCTGTGTGGCTGTTAATGGAAGTGGTTCTCGTTTGGTCTCTGTTTGGTATTGTGATGGACACTGACCTGGGAAGGTTTCATCCCCCTATGACCCCACAGGAACCAGAAAGAGTAGAACATCTGTGTCCCTCCTGAGGACCCCAACAGGGAAACCTGGGCTGTGAAACTGAGCCTGAGAGCATTTCAAAGTGAGCAGTTCCACTAAATGAAGCTAGTCCAGGTCTTCTCTGTGAAGCTTATCTATCAGCCATGTTTCTGTGACCTTTTTTCAGTCTCCTTCTGGATACCTGAACCCATTTGTAATGCAGTAATTGGGAAACCAGCGGCAGATGTTTCATCGGCACCTTTAACAATGTTGTTTCCCGTCATTTAAATGAGGAACCTGTTTGGTCACATGGGAAACACGAGTATTTGAAAAAACACTTGGCACCGAGTTTGTGAAAGACTCAAAAATCTCAGTGGATTTTTTTTGCGTCTTTCTGGTTTATTATCTGTGTTTTACCTTCAATGTGAGCTTCTGAAGTCTTTCTTGGTCGTCTCTCTTTTTTCTGCGTTCTTAGCTCAGATCTGGTCTCCTCAGTATTTTTCCACTGATCATAATCTCGACTGGAATTAGAGTCTCTGTGCTTAAGTTTCCTGGTTTCACTCATTCTTTCGGCTCATCTTTCTTTCTTTTTTCGTTTTTTATGTCATGTAGGATTGTTGGTTTCTTCTTGTTTATTTTTTGGCTCTCCGGTCTGGAGGAAGCATTTTTTTGTTTTATTAGTAAAACCCAAACCCTCACCCCGGATCCTCCTTCGTCCAATGTGTGACTCCCCCTCTGATTTCCTCCATGTTGTCCCCCGAGCTGTTTCTGATTTCCAGTTTGTAAATACTCTTGTTCTAATTCGTTTTCCTCTCCGTCGCCTTTTGTTCCACCCAGTTTGACTTTAATTCAAAGCTGCCTGTGAGTAATCCATCTGCCTGCGTCTGGGTCCCGGTGACATCAAATGAAGAATCAAACTGCAGAAGCGAAATCCCAGCTGACACCACTTTCCCCCGAAAGAGACACACTCAGCAGTGTAAGATCTTTTCTTATTTTCAGACTTTTCTCCCTCAGACGGAGGCATCGCAGATGAAAATGTGCCGCGTTTTGATGTCACCTCAAAGGGTTTCTGCCTGTTGAAGTTAAAAGTCTGCAGACACGTGTGCAGCCTTTGCAGACACTTGGAAATGCAAACACACCCAGGCACCCGGTGTTATCCGCAGCACCACGCATGGATTATTAAAAACAGCAAGATCATTTAATGCCCAAAGCTCACTAGGCCCTTTTTTATCATCTTTTTCAGATAAAAGTATCCATATGCAGGATTTTTTTTTACAAATATCTTGAAATGAAAGTAAAACCTCAGACAAATTACAACAACTTCATTAAAAAATAGTCAAGAGCAAAAGTCCTGAAAAGCTGAGACCACCTTTATTACTGTTACAGTTAATAAAAGGGTCAAAATGTTTGATGAATGTTGTATAATAATTGCAATTGAATCTATTTGCTTAACTGATCATAACTGAGGAAAAGTGCCATTGTGTGTTAACAGAATGCGAAAGAGGAAAGACATCTGAATGATATGAGAAGAAACCATCAACCTGAAGGGTTATGAGGCCGTTTAACCCTAAAATACCACATGCATCATCATCTGATGCACACAGTTTCTGAAATCCTGTACATCAAAGACCTTTTGCATCATTTAATGGTAAAAACTTTGCCCAAAACCCTGTTGCACACTATCAGAAATACCTGATAACAAAAGACTACACAACAATAATTCTGAACCATCGCACAATAATAAATAAATAATATTCAAAAACTGTTTCTGTTTTTTTTCATATTTTGTTAAAGGTCTAAATAAAGACCGTACACAACAACAACAAAACTCTTTATTTTTTCTTGGAACAGGCTTTAAAGGGTTAAAACTATCTGGAGTCCATCGTTCTACAGAGAGGAAGATTATTCTCAGCAGGAAAACATCCCCAGGCAGGAACCCAGCAGCTCCATCTCAGACCCTGGAGCCTCGGCCAGCAGCTCAGAGGTCAAAGGTCAGGGCAGCCTGAGCAGGTTGGTCCGTTTGGGCTGCAGGAGGAAACAGAAGCTGGCAGCTGGACTCAGGTCTGAACAGAGAGCAGAGTGGAGGCCAGAAAACAAACAGCTCAGAGCAGCTGGAAGCACGGTGGGGGAGGCGTCATGGTCTGGGCTGCTCCTGCAGATACAATTCGTAGTCATTTTAAGTATTTCTGATATTAAAAATCCCCCTTGTGGAAACAAGAACTGGTCAGATACTTCCAAATGTAGTAAAGTTTCAATAAGCAAATACATTTTTTTCCCTTCTCATAACCAGACATGTTTTAAACATTGAAAAGAAAGACGGACACGGTTACTTAGTAATTCAGCACCAGTTTAATGATTTTCTACAAAGGTAGCAAAACCTACTACACATGGAGGATTTATGTTTCCAAGAACAGAAATGAAGCCGTTAGAGGGACAAGCTGATGGACATTAAGCCCGAAGACAGCGAGGGGGGAGATAAGAAAGTTTGGGAACAGGAACAGAAGTTATTCACAGAAGTTTTATGTCTAGCAGAAAACGCCGAGTCTGCAGGATCTGAAAGAACTCTTGGCTGAACTGGTGTACAGTACAGGATGTTTTTTATTGTCCACAGTGAGAAGCAGCTGTGTGATGAGTGTGTGAGCAGTGGAGCCTCCATCAGTCCCCCTTCTACCGTCCGATCTCAAGTTGAAACCTTTGAAATCGCACGTTTTTCTTTGACTTCCAGCTTCACTTTGGCATGTAAGCGGCTAGTAATCAGGCAGGCCGATATTTTCAGAGCTGCTGCTACAAACACAGACGGCCGGCTGCAGCCAGACAAAGAACTGAGGCTTTTTCTGCTGCCTGATCTGAACCACAGTGAAAAAATCTCTGTCTCAGAGAAAATCCTCATTTTTCAAGCAAACAGCACAAAGCACAGTGAAAAAAACGTCTTCATTACTACACATGTTTTTCAGCTATTGTTTTTTCCCATCTGGATTTTTAAACGGTCATAACTAAATTGGACTACATAGTGTTTTAAAATGAGGAACAGAAAAAATGCTCAGTGAATAAAACTGAAGATTTGAAAGCTTTAAGCGTCCAGCTTGTGGAGTTCATGGCTTTAATACGTACAGAAAGGGTTAAATTCTTACACTGTACACAATAACCTCAGTTAGCATCAACTTATTGTTAACAGTTACTCCACACAACACTTATCCTGCTAGTTTTCAGTCTCTCATAATTTGCGGAATGTCAAATTAAGAATTTAAATATTAAAGGATTTAAGATTGAGTTAAATTAAAAGACTGAGGTTCTATTTAGGTCAAATGGTAACTTCCTCATCGTTTTACCTGTTTTTTACACTAATGGCTGGGTCTAATGGCTGTCTGGTGCACTGCCCTGCATGTTTTCCATGTTTCCTGCTCCAGCACAGCGGTTTGTAAAGAGTGTGTGTGTGTGGGGCGGGGGGGGGGGGGGGGGGGGGGGCTGGGAAACACGGCTCCAAGCCACTTATTCAGTTATCTCACAAAAAAGAGAAAGACAGGATTAAAAGTGTGTTGTGTTTCAGAACACTGTGAAACTATTTGGGTTTTGTTTCTCTTTCCTGTTGTTTGGAAACAGCTTCACCTGACTGAGTCAGAGAATCCAAACTTCTGTCTTTAAGCTCACATAATAACATCTGAAGAACCAAATCTATTTAACTTATACTATGTGAAATGAAGAAAAACACTAAGTGTTGTGTGGGTGGGTTTTAAGTTTGATAAGCTTAAAAAAAATTAACAAGTGACTCCTAATGTTTATGGGAAAGAGCTTAAAAGACTGAGCACAATTTTACAGCCAGTGTTTGAAATTTGGGGCCGAATTGCAGCGATGGGCACCATCTCCTTCTATTTGTTGTCTGTTCTGGGTAGACGCAACACTGGTTCATCCCTTGAATTATGAGGCTTTTTTAGTTTGAGTTATTCATGGCTCGGACTTAATTGGCTTGGGGAAAAAACTTCTTCAAGACTCCTGGAAAGCCTGAGGCATAATAGCTAAAGATGCCCAAAAAAATGACTTGAATTCTGCGTAATTTTCCTTTATGCTCAGGACTCTGTTTGTCTGAGCCCTGACATCTTCAGCCCTCTCAGATGAGAATGAAATTATACAGGTGTTGCAGAAAAAAAGGAATGAATAACTCTGTTTTATGCTGCCGTGGCCTTTTTTTTCCACAGTAATAACACAGAGCGTCCTCCCCTCTGACGGGACGCTGCTGTATTGGGTTAAAGATCCACATCCTGCCATCCTTCCTGTCCAATTTGAGCCTTTTGTCAGCACGCTGAGGATGCGTGCAGCCTTTAGAAAATAACTGGGGAATAACAGCCCACTCTTCTCTGGCCAACAGTGTTAGGTTTACACCGCAGCGTCACTCAGAGCCAACTAAAATGAGATTTGTCCAAACTGCATAACCTCTCACAACAGAGATTTCACGAGTTTTCTGAGTGTTTTAGAGCAGCTCAGAGCCGGAAAACTCGTCCGAGCTGCCGTATTCCCATAAAACAAAGCTGGTTTATGATGATTGAGCACGCTGCGCCCAGCGCAGACTGTGTGCAGCGGGCCGTGTTTTACTCTGATCCAGCCTCCAGTCACAACATCTCCTCCGAGCTCTTTAGAGAGCTTTCAGATTGCTGCTCCTTGGTGATTCAGCCATCGAGGCTTCTAATTGCTTATTCTGTCAGTTTAATTAAAGTTCAAGCCACAGCAGCCTCTTTAAACCAGCCGAGCATATCTCTGGGTCAATTTCCTTATACATATATATAATTGACCTAAAATAGTAACCTGGCTCTTTCTGGGTATTGAAGTCATCTATTTGGATTTCTGTAACAGTTTTTATTTGTTTCTTTTCAGTGAGCACTTACACACATGATAGCGTAAGATAAGAGATCGAGCCGAGCCTCGATGTCTTATTTCAGATTAAAAAATGCATAAGTAATTTTTCCCTTTGTGAATTGAAGTGGGTTTAATCCTGTGTCGCCTCACTGTGCAGCCCGTGTTCCTCTTTCTGTTCTGTTTTATTATTAAAAACAGTGGTGGGGACGGTGGTGAATTCCTGTTTTCCTGCAGCGTTAAGCCGAACAACCACAACACCCCACGGTGACAAAGCTCCAGAAAGACAACTCCTTTAACCCCCGAGTCCCCGAATACAGAGGATTTTTGTTTTGCTTTCCATCTTTTTCTGTGTTCCTCCCATCTAACCTCATTTCCAGCCCTCGGTGGTAGACAGTCAATCCCAGCGTTTGACTGGAATAACGAGCAGCTTCCGCAGACCTGAAACTACCTGATCACACCTGGAGCGTGAAATCCACCAGACATGTGACCGGAGAAGCTATCGGTTTGTTCCCGACTGCAGGGTTAAAAATCAGGATGCAGAGGCCTGGACCGAACAGATCAAAACAACCGAGGCACGATCTGACCCACAACACAAATAAGTAACTCCATTTCTGAGAAGGATTTCAATGCTGTGATCCATGAATAGTCCCAGATCATTGGAGGAAAACCCACATCCTAATACTTAAGAGAGTTTTTTTCTCTTTGTAAAGAAAATCTGAGCTGACTTTTGAATCTAACAGGTTTCCACTGGCTGCCACCAGAGGATGGTTTAAATTCAGGAAAACCATCTCCATGCACTTCTTTAATCCTTTGAGTAATAATATGATAAAAGCATTAGTCAAAACTCTCACTTTAAGACATGTTTATGCTTCTACTCTATGATATGGCCGACTTGAGCCACTGACTGAGGTTTAAAAGCGGGTGGTTAACAGGATGTTAGAGGAAAACACCAACAATATTCACAAGAGAAAAACAGAAAGAGCTCTTCTGCAGGAATCTCTCTAAATATACACCAATGGGACATGTGAGAATAGAATAACTGCTGAGGAACAACTTTTAAAACTTTCCCGGGTCAGATGGGACCCACAAAGCCACTTTCTTTCCCCCTAATGTGCATAAAGCCACCAGAAAACAGGCGAAAAACAAGCGAGCATCCACATTTTTACCATTTTCCCCACTTTATTTCTACTAAATGCAAACCAAAAGCAGCGATATTATCAGGTTTGTTACTGAGATCGTGGCTTTGGAGGCTGTTTAGGTCCTACAGTTTGACAGCAAAAGTTAAGTATGAACTAATTAAGCTAATGGCCTTCACGTTCCCAATTCTGGGGATTTTTAGAAGAAGATTAATCATCTAAAGCGCTTTCAGGTCGACATGCGCACACACAGACAGTTTGGAGTGCTTAACGTCTGAACCTTCACAGACTTTAAGCAACTTTAAGAACAATTAACCCTGTTTGGCTCAGATGGAGGAAAGATGTTTTTTGTGCTTTTTGCAGCTCTTGACATTTTTCTTTTTACTGTAATTCCCTAATTAGGGGCAGTTCCTGTTCACTGTGCTGCACTGCGGCAGGAATCCTAAACGAGACTCGGTTTTCCGATTCATGAGAAGAGTAAAAGGATTTTCCAACCTGTTATCATCCACACAAACCTCGCAGTTAACTCCAACGTCAGGGGTTTTAGGGTCTCTCTGTTCCTTATCACTGAACCCTCAGAAACAAGTCGAGCTACAGCTGAAGATGTGGACAGCTTCACTTCCTTTTGACTGTGCAGTTTCTGTCTTCATCTAAATATAACTGCGATTGGCTCTTCATATCACAGAGCTTGTGATTCTGGGGTGACACAGAGACAACAAACCTTCTGTGTGTGTGCTTACATTGTTGGATGAATTAATCTTTTTGTCCAAACCATTTAAAAAAAGAGAAGTTTAGAGGTATAAATAGCGGTTGCTACACTTTGAAAGAAGTTTGAGGAAATTATTAAAGTCAGCTTTACCACAGTGTGTCATGGAAAACCATCATTAATCTACTCGGTTAGCTTCAAGAAGGGCTAATTTTTGGGTTTGTTGGTTCAGTGTTTGAGATTCCGTAAAGTTAGAAGCCAAATTAATTTGTCAGAAGTCTTCCATTTTCTCAGTAAACTGTAAAAGACAGAAAAATCCCTCTGATAATGCACACAACTTATAATAATGAAGCTGACATACAGATGGGTTAGCTGTGAGAGATAAACCTTAAAATATTGGCAAAAGTGACTCTTAACAAACCTCCCGAGTCATTTTATGATCCACACTAATCTAGTCTTCCTTTTTTTATCTCGCTAACTCAAGGAAAATGTGAGCTCCCATCCTTCACAGCACAATATAGACTTTTATTCGGGTTTCAGCCTTGAAACGGATCAGAAAACCTTCTTCAGTCTTCGTGAAACCTTTAAAATTGAAGGTTATCACCAGTTTCGCAGGTGTTTAATTCAGAAGTTGCAAACAAAAAGATTGAGGAGCTGCTCGGATGCAAAAAAACTGCAGAACTGTGACTGAACTACACAAAAAAATAGCGTCAAGGCCCATCTGAGGTCCCAAATTTGGCTTTTTTAATTCATCCTGGTTTCATAAAGGTTTGCATTAAAGGCTGAGGTTTAAATGAGGATGTTGACGAGAGCAAAATGAGAAAAAGCTGATTTGAAACGAGATTTAAATGTTCACGGCTGGGGAAAAAAATGCAACAAAAACTTCAAATCTGCGCACAAAAATCCACCGTTTTCTCATTCATACACCAAATCTGCAGCTTTTACGTTTTCAGAAATCAGCGCCACGTCTAAAACCTTTAGTCTGAACACAAAAGCTGAGGGGGAAGGTGCTCATTGGCTGTTTTTGTGCAGGCTTTTGAAAGCTTGGTTGAAAAGACGACACTTTGCACAGGTTCGGAGAGCCGAAAGTTTGGGGGAAATGTGAGTGGAAGCTGCACAGCGTGTCGGGCCTCCTGTGAGCGGACAGAACTCAGCCGGCCTCTTTTACACCTCCGTATTACAGTCAGGAAGATGGAGCCCCCCTCTGAACCACCTCATGCAAGCTTCTAATAACTAGATTTACACGAACAAAGCATGAAGGCGGATGGAAACGGGGCTCCTGCATCCACCCAAACTAAAGCGTCTGCGGGCTTGTTTGCACAGAAGTTTCGCGTCCATGTTTGAATTTTGAGTTTGCAACAGAAAAAAACTAACAAAAAAGCAGAAAATGTGCACGAAATGGAGCAGCGGTTTAGCGTAACGTCATCAAAACAAGAGTGGGGCCTCTGAGCATGCAGCTAGAAGAAGTTCCACCTCTGGTGGAGCGCAGGGGAGAAGCGGTGGAGAGTCTACGGCCGGTGGGGGGGGGGGGCGTAAAACACAGGGTTACATGTATTTACAGGGTCCGGCTGCTGTGGGCAGTTACAGCCACATTAGCAGCAGCGCCGCGGTCAGCAGCAGCCCCAGGAGGCCGGGGCCGCCCCCCCGCCCGGCCGCGCCCCCCCGCAGAGACTCCTGGCTGACCTCCTCTTTGCCCGGGGAGCCGCGGGGAACCGCGGAATCCGCCGGGGGGAGGCCGTCCCGGTTGGAGCACATGTCGTAGAGGTTCCCGGAGAACTGCATCTTCTTGGACTCCTGGCGCAGCGACTCCCACACGGCCGCCGCCTCCTGCGGGCAGCCCGCCATGGCCACGTTGGCACAGTCGTGGAACTGGTCCCAAGACCTGCGGACACAGAGGAGAGGAGAGGAGGAGGCCCCGGGGGGGGGGGGGTGAGAGCCCAGTTCAGCTCTGGATCCTGGATCCACATTTAAACACACATTTCTTACGCCTGTTGCACCCTCATTTAGTCAAAACTTTGCTTAAAAAAACTTAAATGTAGAATATTTCCTTTTTCTTTTTTTTGCATTTCAGTTTATAGTAAAAATGTGATTTTGGATAGTGTACATTATTTAAAGTTTTGTACCCTATAATGGACATTATTTACAGTTTTTTACACTATAATGTGCAATATTGACAGTTTTTAACACTATATTGGGAAATATTTACTGTTTTTTTACAAAAATGTACATAATTTACAGTTTTTACACTAATATCTGCTATATTTACAGTTTTGTACACTAAAATGTGCATTATTTTTGTTTCTTTACATTACAATGCTTGGAGCACAGCAAGTCCAGTCTGGGTTTAATGTTAGAGACGTCCATCAGTACCGAGAAAGTCTTTTCACACTAGCAGGTAGAGCCACACAGCATCGGCACATCCAAACCCTGGATAGCTGTGGCTGTTCCCCCTAAACCATAAACTCAGCCAGCGTCTCAGAACTAAACGCGGTCTTCAGGGTTCAGTCGCTGGACAGGTTGGTTTTATTTTGATTTCAGCCACTAGTTTTATCTTGTGTTACAAACATGGCAAACATATGTTATTTCTAATCGTTTTTAGTGTTCATTTTGTTTGTGGAAATCAACTTTCTACCTCCCCTGTGGGTCCCCCCCCCCCCCCCCGTGGGGACCACTGATCAACCTCCATCTGTCTGTTTGCTCCTTGACTCCTGCTGTCCGGTGCCCAGAGACCGGCCGCTGATCGCTGCTGTTTTGGGAGCAAAAGTCAAACCGAGTCGGACGGAGAGGCGTTGGAGTCTTTTCTGCTTTCAGCCAGATGCAGCAGGGAAAAGAAAACCAGAGACCCCATGAAGCTGCAGCCAGCTGAGGGCAATTAGCTGCTGCTTCTCCCTCTCATCATAAATGGGTTCAATAAAGGGCCCCTGCGAAGAGTTAATGAGAGGAAGAGAGCGGGGACGCTTTAGGAGAAAGTGGAAACGCATGAATGTGCTCAGAGTTTTGCTTCTGGAGACTTAAAATGCATTTTAAATCAGTTTAAAATGCATTTTAGATCAGTTTGAGGCTGATTTAAATGAGACTGTTGCCATAAAAAGACACACAAATCTCAATATTTCATCAAATGTGAAAAGTAAAACTACTTTAAGAATCCGCAATCGTTAATAAAAATGCAACCAGGTCAGATCTGATCTCATCATGTTGCATTTCACGGCCCTCTCAGCTGCCCCAAACTTCCTAAAAATCATGCAAATCGGCTTGAAATTTGTAATTTAAAAAAAGAAACAAAGCTCAGTTAAAGCTTAACCTTGTTTTTTTTTTTCACTTCCTTTAATGACACTTTTAATTGTTTTTCATGCTAGTTTTTCGGGTCATTTTGTCTGCAGTTAGTGGCTCATCGTGTTTTTCTGTTCCTGCCCTCAGAAGGAGACATTTGGCCTTGTTCCACCTCCATTAACAGAAGAAGAGCTGGATTTTGGTCTGTGTCATGTCCCAGATGTGGAAAACTGCTCGGTTTCTCTCCACCTCTGCAGAGACCAGGAGAGTGAGTCACATGGGAGGGGCAGCTGACGTCAGAGGGGTCAGAGGTCAGAGAGGACGAGCCACCTCATGCTGCTGAGTAGTTTTCTGCTCTTTGTTTTGAGGTCGGCAGTGTGTGTGTCTCTGTGTGTTTCTATGTGTGTCTGTGTGTGTGTGTCTGTGTGTGTGTTTCTGTGTGTGTGTGTGTGTTTCTGTTTGTCTTTTCTCGGCTGCAGACGCAGCAGAAACTCGGTGAGGACTCTGACAGACGAGCAGCTGCTCTCAGAGTAATAAAACCTCCAGAGAAAACGTCTGTTCTGCTGCTGACGCCCGGAAAGCTCCGCTTTGCTGCCGTGTTCAAACCGGCCACCGGTCAACCGGCCGCCGCCCCCCCCCGCCAATGAGCCGGCATGTCACAGACCGGACTTCCTCCCTTTCCTCCTCTCTCCTCCTGGAGCTGTGGAGTCTGGATCTGTGGGTGGGAGCAACACCACCTTTACTGTCTGAATCTGTTACTGTGGAGGCTGCCTCTCTCGCCCTCTCTCGCCCTCCCTCTCTCTCACCTTTTTCTGCATTAATAGCCTCAGTTATCTTGGTTCTCCACATCTGGAGTCTTCTTCCATGCTCAGAAACTGTGACACAACATATCCGAACCTTTCCGTTCTCCATCTCTGATCAAAAGGCTCCTGCACAGCTTTCCTTTGCAGATGCTGTCTCACGCACATTTGATGACAGCTAGTTGATGGTCACATAGCATGCGACAATAAATATAGAATCAACACGATTTGATTACAGCTTTTGGGAAATTTAGATTGAAAGTTTCCTGGTAAGCAACTGATCAATGGTCTTTTTATCCCAAAAAATGGCGTCTTCACATTAAATCTAATACAAATACAAATACTTTTTAAGCCGTTAGAAAAATAACTGAAGGAAGTAATCTGAACAGCCTGCGTGTGATCTCATCCCAGCTGTGATGAGAATCCTTTTAGATCTTCAATCGGTTTTTGGGGAGGTTCGATGACTCCGCTGTGAGCAGAAGCTGCCTGCATTCAAAAGACTTCTGTTTCCAGCCAAAGAATCTTCTGGTATCTTCCTTTCAACCCTCAGAGTCTGAACTAATCAGGGAGAAGCTGTTTTAGGTTTTCTTTAGCTTAATAGATGTGGAAAACAACTCCCAGAAAACTGCAGCCTGCTCCAGGAGTGCTTCACTAGAAGGGGGATTTCCTTTAAACTATCACAGTTTAACCATTTCTGTCCAACTCTAAGGCTTTAGCTTCATGTATCTGCAGCATTTAGCGCGGTTTGCACCTGAACCAAACCAAGGACTTGTTTCTGCATTCGGCTGCTCGTTTGTTGAGTCTGACTTGCTTTGAATTGTTAATGTGACAGAAGCTGAAACCTAGACGGCTCCCAGACAAAGTGACAGCCTTGTGAAGTCTGAATTTCCCTCTTTGCAGTGATTTCAGACACCAAAAGGAAAGAGTTTAAGCACAGAGAAGAGTTCTGTCTGCCTCATCCGTCTATTTTAGGGAGCTTCACTGGAGTCAGGGAGGCTGATTCCTGCCCTCCCATCAAATGCAGATGTTTTGTAGAGGAAACAGCTGCATGCAGGGAGGTCTGCAGCTCAGTTATAAAGCCATTATAACAGATAGATAGATAGATAGATAGATAGATAGATAGATAGATAGATAGATAGATAGATAGATAGATAGATAGATAGATAGATAGATAGATAGATAGACTAAAGTCTCTTATTTCCTGTTAGCATGTAGCATCAGTGGATGCTAGCTGTGGAATCTGTGTTCTAGCTGGATGTTAAACCCTCTGCTAGCATGTAGCATCAAAGCATAAATGTAAATACATTTCTGCACACATGTCATTATCCAATGAAAACTCTTGTCCTCTGAGCCCATTTCCTCTATTGGTTAATCCATGAATTTGTCTCTCATCTCCCTGTTTCCCCCTTTTGCGTCCAAACCGTTTAAGCTGGGCTGTTAACTGGATGCTCTGACTCCAAATCGGAGCATCTTAAACTCAATCTCCAGGTCCTGTCTTCATCAGACCGGCCGTCTCTTTTGTCCCGTCCATCCTCCCTGAACTCGGCTCTGAAGATTTGAGCCCAAGTGTTTGAACTCATGCACCTTTATCCTGTGCATCCTCTCTCTTTTTTTGTCCTCCGGCCCCCCAAACAAAAGTCCCGTCCTGCTCTGTTAAACCAGCTCGTCCACCTCAGCACATGCGCTCCGTTCACAGCTCATTTATCCGTTTTTTGGGACCAATCCCGCCCAAAACCCATAAGAACTCCAGCAGTTCATGTCATTTGCGAAGGCCGATGACTTTCTCGTTAAACTTAACGATAAAAAAAGCAGGAACTAACTGCAGATAAAATGTCTAACTCACCGTTTGTCGGAACCCCGGAGAGCAGCACCATTACTCTGTCAAAGGTTTAGATATTACAAGACGTGAGGAAAAACAACGAATCTAAAGCCTGTCGCAGCCTCCAGTTTGGAACTGAAGGAGCTCAGCTATTCTGAGGATGCCAAAGCTTTCATGTGAAAAGCAGCGGGGCTCGGCGGCGGCGGCCTTCATCAGAGCGGCAGCGTGCGGATTCCCTTCAGCTCGCTGAGCAGAAAAATCCGCTCCATCTTTCACTTGTGCAATTCTTGATCTATATTTTGCAACAGCAGCATTCAAACAAGAGTTGAGCCTTAAATATGTGTTTTTAAAAAAGTGTTCCATGTCGAGCTGGCGTGCCATTGCTGTCCCATTAATCTATAATCACCCCCTTTTTCTACTTAGAAGCTTCCTGTTGTGCTTAAAAAAGCAAAGAACCCTCCTTTTTTTTTTGCTTGAAGCCCCTCTGCTTAGATAACTCGGTAATATTGTCGCGTCTTTGTGTGGAAGCAGTTTCCGTCTTGACTGTTGCGTCCCAGAAGAGCTGCAGATATGAAAGGGAGCTGAGACTCGGGCAGGAATAGAGGCAGCGAGCGCTGAGGTGAGAAGCATGAATGGCCTTATCTAAATCTGCAAAGAATGGAGAATATAAAGGCAAATAGAGGGAGCCGCCGTGGAAAAAAAAACTCTGCCTTGTAAGAGGGAGTTTTCTGACAAGACCTGTTTTAGAAAGCATCAGACTCCTGCTTTTGTATGTGTGACCGTAACCAAGGAAACAAAAGCCACTTTTCACTTCGCTGCTGTTCGTACTTTAGAAATACTTCAGCTTAGAGGGTTGAAAGAAGAGCTCTGTGGATGTGAGGCCGCGAGCACATCCTGTCGTTTCAGGGAGAACTCACTCACTCAACACCGCCCTGTCCTCCAAAACTTCAGGCTGAGGCTCTTTGTGCATGTTGAATAATCTCTGTATGAATGTGCCTCTTAAATAAAAAGGGCTAAGTTCTTCTTCATTGCTTTGCAGCAACAGGGACGGATCGAGAGCGCTTCGCTGAGCGTTTGAAGTCAAGAGAGACGAAGCAGCTGATGGAAACTCTGCTGTGAATCAGACAAATAATCTGATAAATACTAGAATTAGTCGCTATGTCCCCCTTTGCTTGGATCTTTGGGGCACATCTGAACACTTTGGGGTCCAGAGGAGCTCCTGCCGGAGGTCCTGATGCCAGCCCAGACCATGACGCCTCCCCCGCCGTGCTGCCAGCTGCTCTGAGCCGTTTGCTTTCCACTCTGCTCTATGTTCAGACCTGAGACAGGCTGCCAGCTTCTGTTTCCTCCTGCAGCCCAAACAAACAAACAAACTGGCTCAATCTGCCCTGACCTTTGACCTCTGAGCTGCTAGCTGAGTCCTAGATGGAGTTTCTGGGTCTCTGACTTTGGGCTGAGCTCTTGGGGATGTTTTCCAGCTGGCAAACATCTTCCTCTCTGCAGACCGATGGACTCCAGATATTTTAAAATGTTTTTAAACCTTCAGACTGACGGTCCTTCTGGTGTCTTTCCTCCTAGACTTTATGCTAAAACACCTGAAAAGCTGCAGAGCAGCAAATTGAGCAAACTTCAAAGAGCTGCTAAAGACTGAACGACCTTTTTTTACTGCGTCCTGATGCACAAAGTTTACGATTCAAAGCAAATTTTGGCACATTTCTCTTTCATTCGACTGTTTTGCCGACAACAGAAGTTTATGCAAAACGTTGAGTTTGACTTCATTTGCTATCTTAAACCTTTCGCTTTCCTTAAATCCAGGCAAAAGGTCAGCGTTTCCAGCTATTGAGCCTGGTTTCTCAGCGCGTTTAGCCTCAGACGTTTGCGTCTCACCCTCAACAGTTCTGGATCCGCCGTGAATGATTGCGGCTGCATAATGCTTATTGTGAAGGGGAGGAATAAAAGCAGCGCCGCACTCCTGGGACGGCTCTGACAATGGTGCAGCCTTGGCCTAGATGCAAATCGTAGCCTGTTATTCAGCGCGTGTGTATGTGTGTGTGTGTGTGTGTGTGTGTGTGTGTGTGTGTGTGTGGAGAGGGACTGGACGTGCATGCGCCTGTGGATCTTCAGAGGGAAGCTACCTCCTCATTAGATGGATCTGATAGCAGTGCTAAAGCCATGTTCCTGAGAGGAGAGAAGGAGGGAGGAGTGGAGGGATGGAGGGAGGTGAAAGAGGAGAGAAAACAGCCCGTGAGTGTGGAGAGGCAGAGGCACAGTGTGTGCGTGTGCATGAGGACTTTGGGCTGGTTTGAGAGCTCTTACAGGCCGGCATTAGGCAACACTCCCACAAAGGTGGCTGGGTTGCAGGATTAGCAGTTTAATTGGTACCTCAAGGAATAGAGGAGACTTAACAACGGTGGCGTGGCAGCGGGACGGGGCCGCCGGGCCGCCGGGCCGCCGAGACTCCGGCAAACACACTCACACAAGTTGTTATTCCCAGGAAATTGTCTTGAACTGGTTCCTTACCCCCATTTCCGTCAGACGTCACTGTTAAATCAACCTCTGTTTCTGCTTCCAGGACAATAACAAGACGCACACACACACATGCACACAGGCGCGTGCGCACGCCTCCGTGCACAAACACCATTCAGGGTTAAAACGATGCAGATTGAAGGAGGAAAAAGACCAGCTCTGAGGAAAAAAGCTCCATCAGGAGGCCGGA